TCTCCTTCGTGAGACTAGCCATGAGGCAAATGGCCTTTCCTGTTCTCTCAACAGATATTACTCAGTTAGAATTCCTTCACCTGGGCACAGGCTGTCAGTCACACCCAAAGGTGTGTGCAAGGAAGCCACATTCCCATGCACTGTTGATTATACTTATGTTCCTGGATAGTAAATCTTCTTGGGACAGTGTTTGTGTAACTTGGGTATAATTTTTTTTTCTGTGTTTTGGGGGTTATTTTTGTATATCAAACCTAATCACTCTACTCTGACACCCAGGACGCAGATGCATACAGTATACATAAAGATGCTGGTACCTATGATATCTCCCCTATTAGATGGGGGGAAAAAAAACCCACTGCTTTATAGAGAGATGATAGGAAAATAATTCTCGAAATATGTGCACTTTAATAATAAATACAACTGGGCTTGGTGGCTCAGCCTGTAAACCCGCGCCTTGGGAGGCTGAGGTGAGTGGATTGCCTGAGCCCACGGGTTCGAGACCCACCTGGGTATCTTGGCGAGACCTCATCTCTACAATAAATCAAAAAATTAGCCAGGCATGGTAGCACGTACCTGTAGTTCCAGCTACTTGGAAGGCTGAGGCAGAAGGATCGCTGGAGCCCAGCAGGTCGAGACTGCAGTGGCCGGGAGCCACTGCACTCTAGTCTGGGTGACAGAGTGAGACTCCAACTCAAAAATTAATAATAATAATAATAATAATAATAATAATAATAATAATAATAATAAGTACATTCATTCCCTCTTCCCCTTTCATGAAGGATCCTTCTGCATTTCAAGACAAAATTTCCATTCTGTAGCCTTGATTGAAATCTGAAACTCGGGTCTTTGACTCAATGACTTTTACCTTCCTCATGAGCTGGCATTTATCTTAGGCTCCCTTATTTGATTATTGTGCCATCTTTATCATTTATATTTTTATTCCTATCTCACATTTTGATATGCCTCAGTCTTGTGATCCTGCCAATCATGTTGACCGCTGCCTCTTCTTCATCTATTTTTTTAAAACTTTTGGACAAGACCACCATCCAAAATTGGAAAATTCAAGTCAAAACTGGGCTAGAGCCCAATGCTGGGCATTTCAGTTTATGCAGTAGCTTTTTATTCTCAGCGAATTCTGTCAGTCATATCCTGGATTTCCAGCTATGACCATATACTGTGCTTGGAAGATTGACTTTTTAAGCTTCTTTATCTATTTTCCTTAACTTTAAATCTAAAAATAAATGGGAGAACAGATGAGAATGAAATTGCAGTGAAATTGTTCTCATACATAATGTAACTCTCTATTTAGGAATAAGCATAGAGAGTGTAATTTCATGTTCGTTTTGAGGAATCTAAGCCAGTTTTGGGGAGCACAGTCTGCTTCTGGGGAAGGAGGTATGATTTGTCCAGGTATGAATAAAATTCCCCCCAATAACTAATATGGAGGCTTCTTAGGCTCTTCTATATGGCAGAAGTCCCTGACTGAGCTTCAGTTTCTCCATGTTCCTCAAGGGCATCTCCCCTTAGAAGTAGCCAAAAGTACATCATAGTTGACATTCTCATGTGTAAATCATCAACTAGGATGACACTTTCAATGCTTCCATCTAAGCATTAGTGTCTCTTCTTTTTTTTTTTTTCCAATGCTTCCACCTGAGCATTAGTGTCTCTTCTTTTTTTTTCTCAGATATAATGGTGAGTGTTGTAGACTAGATGCTGTGGGTTCTCATATCATACCTTCTAATGCCAGTTACTGTGAGAGATGGGACAAGCCACACACACACACACACACACACACACACACACACACATACACACACACACAACTTTCTTGATTGTAAAGTAATAACACTATATCCTTATTTTATATTCCTGTAAAACTAAAAGGTGACATAATTTGTCATCACGTACTGGGAAGATAAATCACTGTACTAATGATTACCAATGTTGCTGGATTTGATTTGCCTGTTTTCAGAGAATGGGAGATGTCTGGTTCAACTCTCAGTAAAAATATGATGCTTTGTGCCAATTTTCTGTTTCAAAGGACTAGAGGTTAATAAATGCAAGGACTGACCTTAAAAGAGAAGTGTTACAGCCATAGATCTGAGCAGTTGACCCAGAAAGAGCTATGTGGGCTGAAGAAATTCAAGCTACATTAACTTTAGGAAATTACACGTGCATTTAGAAAAGTATACATCTATTTATTTTTTTCAAGATAGTTATTAGAGTTGTGATACCCGATCCTAAATTTGAAATGTTTTTGGTTATCATGAAAAGGTAAGGCATCCAAAAACATATATAGACACAATTTATTTAACAAAATATACAATTTCTTCTGAACTTGTAGTAACTGGCAAAGATATCAAACATAGGACACCATCCTTTCAAAATGACAAGAGACTTAGGACCAAAGTTCGTTAGAGTAATACTTGCTTTCTGAGCAACTTTTACGTAAGCCATATCGTATCCAAGTCCTTGCAGTTCACTTGACTACCAGATGGGACTGCTGATGCTAAGGCAATATTTCATCCAATAACAGAGATTTACTCAGTTTATGCCACCTGCCAATCATTGTGCAGGTGGCAGGAACACATCGATAAAAATGACATGCCCAACTTGTGGTCTACAGGGAGAAGAGAGCATATAACAGTCTTTTGTATAATGGTGCAAATGTTTTATTAGAAATTGCATGCATCCATCCATTTGTTCATTCATTCACTCTTTCCTCTGGCGATGTTATTGAGCTCCTTCTGCAGACCAGGCATGGTGCTAGGGCCTGGGGATTTAACTGAAGAGGAATGCCTGATGGTGTTCAGCCCTCACAGAGAAGCCTGGGAAGAAGAGAACAGTCTCCCAGAGGAGATGGCATTAGCAATGGCTTCTGAATGCCAGGGAGAGGATGAAGTAAGTTTTAGGCAGAAGGATGATCATGTGCAGAACACTGAGCTGTGAATATGTTAAGCCATGTTTGGGACTGGTTAATACATTGGGGTAGAGTTCAGGGTGTGTGAGAGTGTAAGCATCTGGATGAGGAAAGTCAGAACTTTTGTTGTTTTGGTGATGAACCCGAAGCCTAGCTATTTAATACATCTACCTAAGTTCACAGAAGTGATTAAAGGAAGATCTTGAATCAGAATGAGAACAAGGCATGAGCAGTGGGCGGTAGCAGTGGCTGCTGTTACAGTGTGTCCCTTTAAGCATTGCAGCTTCTTGCATGCATCTCCAAGAGCTGCATCCACTTACCCTGCGAAGTAGTCAGCCTCAGTAGCTTTCAGAAAGGCCACGTCCACTAAGTATTCTCTTTTAGCAGGAAAGGAATTGCTAATCATTTCCCAGAAAGTGGTAAAGATTGAGCCTATGATGTGAAACAGCAGTAAGTGCGTTTTCAGAGTCTCCTCAATGTGAAGAAAAAAATGATGCGACTTACTGATCCCTTCCAGAAGACTCAGTTGTGAAACCTCAGACCTTCAAGCAATAACATCACCCATGGCCTATTGTAGCAAAGGCCACACATTGACAATGACTTAGAACTCTTTAGAACCTGTATATTCTAGGTTTAGGTGCACTCTGAATTAATTAATGTTTCTGTAGTACCATTATTAAACTAAAGATTTGAACCAGTTCAAGGAATGTTGTGTTAAACTTTCCATATTACATTATTGGCAATTGAGTATGCATTCTGGAAGATTTGTACTATTATAGAAGAGGGGCAATGTGAAGGAACACAAAGTTGAGTTGGTGTCAAAAAGGTGTTGATAGAGGTAGATGACACCTCAAGATACACAACAGAATACTATTCAGCTTTTAAAAAGCAAATGCTGTCGTTTCCGGAAACATAGATGAAACTTGAGGACATTATGTTAAATGAAATAAGCCAGGCACAGAAGGACAAATATTACATGATCTTATTTATATGTGGAATCTAAAAAAAGCTAAACTCGTAGAGACAGGGAGTCTTATGGTAGTTACCAGGGGCTAGGTGAAGGGGAAAGGGAAGATGTTGGTCAAAGGATTTAAAGTTTCAGTGAGACAGGAGGAATAAGTTGTGATGATCCATTGCATATCATGGTGACTATAGTTAATAATAATGTATATTTCAAAATTGCCAAAAGAGTAGATTTTAAATATCTCACCTCAAAGAAATGATAAGTATATGAGGAAATGGATATGTTAATTAACTCGATTTAATGGTTCAACAGTGGGTTTCATAACATCATTTTGTACCCAATAAATATATACAATTATTTGTCAGTTTGAAAACAAGGCTGGGCGTGGTGGCTCAGACTGTCATCCCAGCACTTTGGGAGGTGGAGGCAAGAAGATTGCCTGAGCCCGGGGGTTCAAGACCAGCCTGGGCAACTTGGTGAGACCTCATCTCTACAATATATCACAAAAACTAGCCGGTCATGGTGGCATGCGTCTGTAGTTCCAGCTACTTGGAAGGCTAAGGCGGAAGGGTCGTCTGAGCCCAGCTGGTTTAGGCTGCAATGGCCATGAGCTTGCCACTACACTCCAGCCTTGGCGATAGGGTGATACTCCAACTCAAAATAAATAAATAAATAAATTTTAAAAACTGTCTTTACTAGTCGTGCCTGTGTGTATATGTATGTGAGTATAACGTTTTTTTCCAAAAAGAATACTATTTTCAAGGTTCTTGAATTTATATTATTTACTATATAAAGAGAGAAGAATAGAATTTTTAAAAAGAACCCAAAACACAGTCAATTTTTTATTATATTTTTTCCTGAGTTGTGTCATCACACATGGTCTCAGTGATATAATACTTCAGTTTGCTGATCCATAGAGGGTGGTAATAAGCCACTTCGTAGAGACATGGAGATTTACATTTTTTTGAATAAAAAGCACCATATTAGGCAGTAAAATTGTAGTGTTTTGTGAAGGTTCAAATGGCACTGTATAATAATAATAGGTTGATCTTAATCAGAACTGTGGCAGACATACAAATACTTACATTTTCCTTGGACCCCCCCTTTTATTTTCAGGAATGCTAAGACACCGTTCCTGCTTTTCCTGTCCTACCTCCATGTGCACACAGCCCTCTTCTCTACCAAGGACTTTGCCGGCAAGAGTAAACATGGCATTTATGGGGACGCTACTGAGGAAATGGACTGGAGTGTGGGTATGTGCCTCCTCAGTGTGCACCTAAAAAGCAGCTCAGTCTTTGCCTCCTTCTGTCTTCTTTCCTATGAATTTCTATCTATGTTACTGATACTTTTATATACCAAAAATATATGTGTGCGTGTTTTTTAAAGTAACCACAAACACATTGATTCTGAAAGGTAAATAAAATATAAAAAGCATCTTCAGCCCCATGTGCATATCTGCAGTTGCCAATGGATACATCGCAGGGCAAGTCTGGGTCTGTGAGCTGGTGATGGAAGAGATTAGTGGTGGTGGAAGGGAGACAAAACAGTATCCTTATCATCACTTATTCTGTCAACAATGAAATATGAACAGTGCCACCAGCAAAGTTAGACGTGTGGTACCCACAGCTGGCTACAGACCTGGCATGCCCCTCAAGGCAATAGCCGTGGGGTCCTTGTGTTCTTGCTACATCTGATCACTGTAAAGCTATGCTTGTTCTCCATTCCTCTGCTCTCTCTTTCTGAGCAAATGACTTTGTTACTGAGAGACATGGCATTGTTTAGTGACACTGGGAAGACTTCCTCATTGATTTCCTTATTTAAATCATCTGTCTTCTATATCTACATCCCCATGCTTTTTATTTTCTTTAACACAGCCAAAAAATCCTGGAGTCTATTCCATAGAGTGTAGAGAAGGCTATAGTGTATGAGTTATGTAATGGAATGGAAAGTAAGCAGACTCTGAACTTCTCACGAGTTCCAGCCTTTTCTAGTGACATCATCTCTTACTTTTACAATGCTGAGTCTGTCTGGACAGAATCAGAGAAATAGAAGAGAGAGAAAATGTCCAAAAGGCAAAAGTCACCTGGGTTGCTTAAGATTATTATATATTTGCTTACTTTTCCTTCCCCCCCCTTTTGTTCTTTCCTTTTGTTTCGTGCACTAAATCAATAAATTGTAACCATTTACTGTAGATGTTATGGAAATTATTGCCATACAGTTCCGTTTGTTCATTTGTTTTAAGTAGCTGATTGATTGTGGTGATGTTCACCTACTCTAAAATTATAAGAGCAAGTTTTGTTATGTTTTCTTTTATATTGTGGAAAGAGCACTGGCTTAAGAAACAAGAAAATGGACTCTTCTTCCAATGTCTAGATCTTTCTTTATTCTTTTTTTTTTTTTTTTTTGAGTTGAAGTCTCACTCTGTCGCCCAGACTGGAGTGCAGGGGCACTCTCCCAGCCACTGCAGTCTCGACTTACTGGGTTCCGGCGATCCTTCCGCTCAGCCTTCCAAGTAGCTGGAACTACAGGCACGTGCTACCACGCCCGGCTGATTATTTTTTTTCATTTATTGTAGAGATGAGGTCTTGCCAAGTTGCCCAGGCGTATCTCGAACCCGTGGGCTCAGGCAATTCACTCACCTCAGCCTCCCAAAGCACGGGATTACAGGCTGAGCCACTGAGCCCGGCCTGGATCTTTCCTTGACTATCTCTGTGAACTTGGGAGATGTCTTAAATCGCTAATTCTCTTCTCTATTATCTTCATAGGAAGAATTCAAACTATTCTAAGTTTCTTTCTTTGTCAGTGGTCTGTGATTCTATAAAATAACAAGAGTGAGTACCATTTATAATGCTAACTAGGAAAAACAAAACCAGAACATTCTCCCTAACAAGATTTATAAGAAAAATGCATTATGCTTAGGGCTTTCATATACACCAATATAAGCCTGGCTCCTTTTATTTTTTCCTTCTTAAAATGTTGTACATAAATCAATTTACATTTTTCACATTTTAGTAGTATAAATCAGTAGAATATTTTATCTCTTTAATGAGTGTTATATTTTAATATGTCAGCCTTCTATACAACTCTAAGTCTTCTGTTGACTAGCAAGCAAACTCATGCTGATATTATCACACCTATTGATTAAAGTTTATTTAATTATGATGGCACAGATGCCTACTCTGATTCATTAGAAAGTAAACTTTCAGTGTTGTCTTGCTACTGGGTTCCTCTAGAATATTCAGAAAGTATTTTTCCATCTTTGAGACCTGCATTAGACCCTGATATAATATTCATAGATGATTGTATTCTTTCTCTGTCTCTTTTTTTTTTTTTGCCAAAAAGATAAAATCCTTCCCCTAGGCATTATATTAATTTTTTAGAAAGTTTTTTGTTTTATAAACTCAATACATTCTGAGTGTTTTGAGGAGGATTCCTTCTTTCCAAGAAAGTCCTTTTATTATTATACAGAAAGGGGACTGTAGCATTCTGAATAATTATGTAATAAAATAAAAGGAGGGGCCGGGATCGGTGACTCAGTCTGTAATCCCAGCACTCTGAGAGGCCGAGGTGAGTGGATTGCCTGAGCCCGCGGGTTCGAGACCCACCTGGGCAACCTGGTGAGACCTCATCTCTACAATAAATAAAAAGTTAGCCAGGCGTGGCAGCACATGCCTGTAGTTCCAGCTACTTGGAAGGCTGAGGTGGAAGGATCACCGGAGTCCAGCAGGTCGAGGCTGCGGTGGCTGGGAGCATGCCACTGCACTCCATCCAGTCTGGGCTACAGAGTGAGACTCCAACTCAAAACAAAAATAAATAAATAAATAAAAGGAGGATATTTGCTTAAAAAGAAACACTTCATGCACAAAGGACAACTGAGATAGAAGCAGTGAAGTAGAGAGGGCACATCTCAGTCATTCAGTGCATTTCTTTCAGAAATTTTGAGGACAGCATAGTTATGTGAAGCATTACTTTCTCTACAACAAAGAATCTTTTTTTTAAATGTCCACCATGATCATTTCAACCACACGTTACTGTGGCTTACTACCTGACTCATAGCTGAGTGGTTGTTCTGTCTTTTATCGTTATTGTAACTGGAAAACAACTGACACCACAGAGATGTTGCAAGAGCTATAGAGGGGCTCCACAATAAAGCCATGCAGAGGTACTTAAAATCCTGGATCTGTAATACCGCCATGCAAATTCAAGAAGTGGTCAACTCATTTTTTAAAATTTTATTTTATTTTAAAGATGTGAGGTACAATTCAGGATTAGGTAGATAAGTGGTCATCGTACAGGTAAAGTTTGGGCCTCCCTTTGGTCCCTGCTTTGCCTGGTTTGAGATCAGGTATCCTTATTGATGTTATGTGCCCCCCTCCTTCCCTCCCCTGGCAGCATCCCGCTACTACCAAACCCTTTCTTACAGGGTCAACACAGTTTTAATCACCACAGGGACTGCCATCGAGATCGTGCCTCACACCTGGCCTTACTTGCACATGCATTACCTCCTTTTGTGCTGCCAGTGGTCCCTGCATCAGGTAGCATTCTCATCATTCCCACTCAGCAGATAAAGCAGGTAGGCTTGGAGAATGTTAAGTACACCCAGCTCAGGTTGTAGAGTTCATGATAGATGAATAGGTGTTCAGATGCAGGTGTCCCATCCAGAGCCTGAAGTCTACACCACCTTATTCCTCTTCTTTCTATGTAATAAGAAAGGCTGCATCATATCCTTTCACAGTCAACAAGACATCTCTGGGAAGAAACTAGTTCATTCATTAGTCACGTTTCCGACTGTGTGCCTAATTGTTTTGGGACAGGGGATGCAATGATGATAAGATTTTTGGATTAAGGGAATGTAGAGGCTACTAAGGGATTTAAGATTCTTCTAGGAGATCTTGTAACAACTCAGGCCAGAAAGTGAGGAATATCCTGACGGAGGTGCAGATAAAGTACTTGAGCCGTTTGGAATGAGGAAAGGTGTTACATGGCTATTGGATACAGCCAACCGCATCATTTCAGCAGGACACACCAACAGTGTGGAAATCAAAGAACTATTGCAACACCTGGTTTTCAATCCCATGTAAATCTGAAGCAGTCGAAGTTGGGGATAAACAAATATGTAAAAATCACATTACTTTCAAATGTGCACCAAACATTTGGGGGGAGGGTCATTCTGGCTGGTATTGGAAACAGACTACTTACCATAGATCTGTTCATGGATGAGGGGTAGAGGGAGCAGGTAGAGGGATGGACATAGTTCTCATGAATGGCTTCTTTTTTTAAAGTCAGTCTCACTCTGTCGCCCAGGCTGGAGTTCAGTGACATGCTCACGGCCACCCCAGCGTCGACCTGCTGGGCTCAGGCGATCATCCCACCTCAGCCTTCCAAGTAGCCAGAGCTATAGGCCCGTGCTACCACGCCCGGCTATTTTTTAATTTATTGTAGAGATGAGGTCTCGCCAATTTGCCCAGGCTGATCGCAGCCCCCTGGGCTCAGGCAATCCTCTCGCCTCTACCTCCCAAAGTGCTGGGATTACTGACTTGAGCCACTGTGCCCGGCCACGAATGGTTTCTTATCTACCACTTATACCATCACAGTGATCACAGCTCCAGTCTGTTAGGCATAATTTGCATGCAATCAGCGTTTACTCAGAACCCCATGCTATTAATAGAAACACATGAAAGAATCATAAATCAGAGCTTGCTCAGGATTAGACTCGCAAATTCTGTACTCTTATGAAGAGAGATGAAAGTGGAGAGCAATAAGGTGAATGCTAAAACAAATCTCTGGCTTCAAATCAAACCTTACTATTGAAGAAAAAAAAACCCTGCCACTGCTAAGGGTTGGAATCAAATGGCTTATGTGAGATTCTCTCTTGCAAACAAGAGTAGTGAGTCTTTCTGTTAGGGTTCTAGCAGTCTCCGTAAGTTTGGCGTTTAGTTGCTCAGAATTTGTAGCTTGGCACCCCCTAGTGGCTGAGTGTCACAAGGCATCCCTCAGTTTCTCCTACGATTTCTTCTCCCAGGGAGTAGGTGGCTGGGGGAGGGTGTCTGGATAGTGCTACCACCTATGGGCAGAAATAACCAACCTGGAGGAAAAGTAAGGGATGAATATATGAAAGGTGAGTCGAAGGGATGGTACAGAATGAGTTGCTCTTTACCATGCATGACATATAATCAACCCTGCGCACTTCAACATAGCAGCATGGGCTATATATCCAACTCCTCTTGAGGATGGAGAAGAAATTGGAGGGCCT